TCCAGAACTCTCCTGGGAATTTAAGATCTGTGTATATCCCACTACCTCTTAGACATTCTTTTTTTTTTGGTTGCAGTTTAGCCAGGGCTGGGTTCTAACCCACCACCCTTGGGATATGGGGCCAGCGCCTGTGGCTCAGTGAGTACACATTCTTTATGGAGACTTTATGTATTTATTTTTGTGAGACAGAATCTCACTTGGTCACCCTTGGTAGAATGCCGTCATGTCATAGCTCACAGCAACCTCAAATTCCTGGGTTCAAATTATTCTCTTGCCTCAGCCTCCCACGTAGCTGGGACTGCAGACACCCGCCACAATGCCTGGGTATTTTTTAGATGGGGTCTCACTTTTGCTCAGGTTGGTCTCAAACTCCTAAAGTCAAGCAACTCACCCACCTCGACCTTCCAGAGTGCTAGAATTACAGGCACAAGCCACCATGCCCAGCCCTCTTTATGGAGACTTGAAACTGAACATTCCAAAATAAAATTCAAAACCTTCACCCCAAATTTGGATTTTCTCCTCTGTTCCACACCTTGGGGAAAGGCCCCACCATCTATCCAACTACAGAAGCTGGAAACCCAGGCATCATCCTGGGTAATTAATCTTTTCCCATGTCAAATACAGCTCCAAATCTTGGTGGTTGTTTTATTTTTTGTTGTTGTTGTTTGTTTTGTTTTGTTTACCTCAAACTCTTGGGCTCAAGGGATTCTCTTGCCTCAGCCTCCCCAGTAGCTGGGACTATAGGTGCCACCACCACACCTGGCTATATATTTTTTTTCTATTTTTAGGTAAGACGGGGTCTCATTCTTACTCAGGCTGGTCTCACACTCCTTAGCTCAAGCAATCCACTGGCCTTCACCTCCCAGCGTGCTAGGATTACAGGTTGTGAGTCACCACACTGCCCAGCCTGCTGAATACAGCTCCAAATCTTGTTGACTCCTGTCCATTTCCACTTTCCAGCTCCAAGTTATCATCATCTCTCATCTGGGTAAACTGTATTTCTTTTCCACTTGGGCTCTCCTCTGACCCACAAAATATCTTGAATGATATTTTTAAGACACAACTCTAATCATGTTACTCTTTGCTTAAAAATCCTTCAACAGGGGCCTGTGGCTCAAAGGAGTAGGGCGCCTGCCCCATACACCAGAGGTGGTGGGTTCAAACCCGGCCCAGCCAAAAACTGCCAAAAAAAAAAAAAAAAATCCCTCAACAGCTCTTTACCGTCCTTAAACTCACCTTTGTAAGGTGGCCTACTGGATGTCCCCATGCTCTCCAGCCTCAGAACATCATCTCCCTCTCCTTCTCTGCATTCCCCTCTCACTGGTTAGGCTGGACACGGTACATTGGCAGACAGCACCCATCCCCACTCTATGTGCCTTCCTTTGCTATGGATCCTGGAAATCTGAAACGTTTCCCATTCCCTTGCAGCTAGGGTTCTAGCAATTAGATGTATTTGCATGAAGTTTGGAAGGTGGAAGGAAGCCAGTTTTAGCTGCTTTTACTTGTAAATATGGCTATGGAGACATGAGTGCACAGAGAGCTCCGGCTTTGTGGAGGCAGGGAAAGGACTCAGCAATTCACTGCCCTGGTGTGGCATTGGCAATGGCTTTTTGATCCCAGCATCTTGTCCTTGGTTGGCAGCCTCAGCAGGATATATTTCTGAGAGAGGTAGTAGCTGCTTTGGGAGGTCAGTTCTGTGGTGTTCTAGGAGTCATCCCTAAAACCCAGCCTAGGGCCTATTGCTTTCTTCAATAGCTAGAGTGGTTTCTGTTTCCAAATGCAGATCCGCTAGACTTCATTGTTTTTAGACTTGGCTGTGTCTCCTCCCACTGTAGGGCTGTTTTAACTTGCTGTTCCTTTGGCCTAAGTTAATACCCTTGCCTTTCCTTAAACCCCTGTCCCTCCTCATCTCTCTTCACTTTCTATATCCTTTCTATTTCAGTTTAAGCATTTTTCCTGACCCCTAAGAATGGATCTACTTTTTTTTTTTTTTTGCAGTTTTTGGCTAGGGCTGGGTTTGAACCCACCACCTCCGGCATATGGGGCCTGCACCCTACCCCCTCTGAGCCACAGGCACCTTCCAAGGATCCACTTTCTAACAAGGATTTCACCTTGTGTATTTCTTTGAATGCATTATTACATAATAATGGCCTGTAATATTTTTTTTCTATGTCACTTTTTTTTTTTTTT